CCAGCTACTCAGGAGGCTGAGGCAGGAGAATCGCTTGAACCTTCTCTCCCCATTTGCAGTGAGCCAAGCTCACGCCACTGCACTCCAGCCTGGGTGACAGAGTGAGACTCAGTCTCAAAAAAACAAAACAAAACAAGAACAACAACAGAAAAGAAAGATATTCTGACATTTGTGACAACATAGATGGAATTAGAGAATATTATGCTAAGTGAATTAAGTCAGGTTCAGGAAGGCAAGTACTGCAGGTTCTCACATATATGTGGAATCTAAAACAAACCCATAGAAGCAGAAGGCAGAATGGTGGTTACAGAGGCTGGGGGTTGTGGGGAATGAGGAGATGGTGTTCAAAGGGCATCAAATTTTAGTCAGACAGGAGGTTTTTAAAAATACTTTTGAGTTCTGTTGCACAGCATGGTGAATATAGTTAATAATAGAGTATTGTACATTTCAAAATTGCCAAGAGAGTAAATTTCAAATGTTCTCACCACAAAAATGTTAAGTATTTGAGGTAATGGATATGTTAACCACCTTGATTTAATTATTCATAAATTGTAACATCACTTTGTATCCCATAGATTTATATAATTATAAATTATCAATTTACAATTTCAAAAATAAAGTAGGAAGGGGATTTATTGGCTCATAGAGCTAAGTCTGAGGTCAATAGGATTAAGGTGTGGCTGGATCAGATGTCATCAGTACTCTGCCTTCCTTTTCATCCTTTTTATTCCTTCTCATGCTCTCTCTTTTTTTTTTTTTTTTTTGGAGACAGAGTCTTGCTCTGTCACCCAGGCTGGAGTACAATGGATTGATCTTGGCTCACTGCAACTTCTGCCTCTGGGGCTCAATTGATTCTCTTGCCTCACCCTCTTGAGTAGCTGGGATTACAGGCGCCTGCCACCACACCTGGCTGATTTTTGTATTTTTAGAAGAGACGGGATTTCATCATATTGGCCAGGCTACTCTCGAACTCCTCAGGTGATCCACCCACCTCGGCCTCCCAAAGTGCTGGGATTACAGGTGTGAGCCATCACCCCTGTAAACCTGTGTCATTAAGGGTTTCTTAATGACAGCTGATGGGATGGGATTTGAACTGGCAGGAAATAAAGTGGCAGATACTCCTTTGGGCGGCTGCATCAGCAAGACTGGAGTCAGGGAGTTGAGATGAGGTGGGACAGGCAGGAGGGAGCCAACTCTCACTTCCTCCTTCTCTCCCCATTTGTCTTCTTTTTTACCCTGAGCAGGTATCTGTCATCCTTTTCATTTAATATTGTATCATAAGCATTTTCCATGTTGCCAATGTATTTTCTTTTTCTTTTTTTTTTTTTTTTTGAGACGGAGTCTCGCTCTGTCGCCTAGGCTGGAGTGCAGTGGCCGGATCTCAGCTCACTGCAAGCTCCGCCTCCCGGGTTCACGCCATTCTCCTGCCTCAGCCTCCCGAGTAGCTGGGACTACAGGCGCCCTCCACCTCGCCCGGCTAGTTTTTTGTATTTTTTAGTAGAGACGGGGTTTCACCGTGTTAGCCAGGATGGTCTCGATCTCCTGACCTCGTGATCCGCCCGTCTCGGCCTCCCAAAGTGCTGGGATTACAGGCTTGAGCCACCGCGCCCGGCTACTAATGTATTTTCTTAATACACTTTTTATTTTGGAATAATTTTAGATTTACAGAGAATTAAGACAGAACAGAGAGTTTTTGTTTGCTTCTCCTGATGTTCTCATCTCACATGACTGTGGTCAATTGTCATAACTAAGAAACCACTCTTGGTATGTTACTAGTTTTATTTTTGAGACAGGATCTCACTCTGTCACCCAGGCTGGAGTGCAGTGGCACAATTTTGGCTCACTGCAGCCTCCACCTCCCAGGCTCAAGCGATCCTCCCACTTCAGCCTCCTGAGTGGCCAGGACTGTAGGCATGCATCACACCTTGCTGACGTTTGTATTTTTGTTTTGGTTTGGTTTTTTGAGACAGAGTCTCACTCTGTTTCCCAGGCTGGAGTGCAGTGGCACCATCAGCACTCCCCGATCACTGCAGCCTCCATCTGCCAGGCTCAAGTGATTCTCCTGCCTCAGCCTCCCAAGTAACGGGGACTACAGGTACGCGCCACCACACCTGACTAATTTTTGTATTTTTAGTAGAGACCGGGTTTCACCATGTTGGCCAGGTTGGTCTCAAACTCCTGGCCTCAGGTGATCCACCCACCTCAGCCTCCCGAAGTGCTGCGATTGCACATGTGAGCCACTGCACCCAGCTGTATTTTTTTTTTTTTTTTTTTGTGGTAGAGACAAGGTCTCACTCTGTTGCCCAGGCTGGTCTCAAATCAAGTTCGTTGATCCAGGGCACAAGTGATCTACCCATGTCGGCCTCCCAAAGTGCTCGGATTACAGGCATGAGCCACTGTGCCTGACCTAAATGGTACGTTACCATTAACTAAACTCTGGAATTTATTTGGATTTTGCCAGATTTTCCACAAATATCCTTTTTAAATTTCAGGATCCAGGCCAGGACACCACAGGGCATGTAGCTGTCATGTCTCCTTCGTCTCCGTGATAGTTTCGCAGTTCTTTATTTTTCATGACCTCGACAGCTTTGGGGAGTACTGATCAGGCACTTTCAAGAGTGTCCTTCAAATTGGGTTTATCTCATATTTTTCTCATGATTAGTGTGGGGTTATGTGTTGCTGGAAAGAATACGACAAAGGCGACATGCCTGTCTCATCCCATCGTATGAGTGGCATAGGATATCCATGTGGCATCGCTGGCAATGTGAGCCTGGATCAATCGTTTAAGGTGGTACTGGCCAGGTTTCTCTACTGTTCATCCCTCCGCCGCCTCTGTTTTGGGAAGTGAGTCACAAAGTACAGTCCACCTTCAAAAGGGGCGGGGAAAATGAGCTCCTCTTCCTGGAGGAGGTAGTATCTTCATACATGATTTGGAATTCTGTAAGGAACTTTCGTTTCTTCTCCCCATTTAATTATTTATGGAATCTTTTATTTATATGGGTATGTATGCTTTATATTTTGGATTACAATCCAATATGGCAATATTTATTTTGTTGCCCAAATTGTTCTAGCTTTGGCCATTGGAAACTTTCTGTGCATGACACAGAAGCCGCATGTCCCTGCAACATGCCCCCATCCTTTTATGATGATATTTTTTTTTTAGCACTTTCTTATTTCTGGCACCATGAGATGCTCCAGGCTCATCTTGTACTTTTCCTGCCCCAGCCCCTAGAGTTAGCCATTTTCTCAAAGAGCCCTGATTTCTTTGGAGAATGATATTTACAAACCAAGATCTGGGTGTTGGGAGTTGCTACCTGGTTTTTCTAACTATGTGTTTCAATTGTTTATTCCATTTGGTGGATTACAATGATTAGTTCAGTCACTCCGAATTTTACATTTACTAGTAACACAGTTAAAAATCATTTTGCACATTCCCTCTTTGATTAGATTATTTCTGGAGAGGAAATTTCTAGAAGAGGAATTAATGAGAAAAAGGTCATGAATATTTTTATGTTTCTAGAGGAGGACAAATTGTTCTCCATAATATTGTTCTAATATATAATGTCTCCAAGAACTTATACACTAGTTTTATTTCGGTTTTTAGAATAAATAAAAAGGTATACAATGAAAAGTGGTCTTTCTGTCCCCGTCTTTCTAGTTCCCACACACCTCTTTCTTGGAGATCACAGTATTTGGTTCTTAAATATCTTGTAGAGTTTCTTTATGAATAAACCAGAAAAATGAATGCATGCAAAAGAGCATACTAAACACACTTACTAATTTTATCTTTTTTGTTTGTATCTGGAAACCTTTCTATATTAGCACAAGAGAATTTCCTCATTCTTTTGATAGCTGCAAAATCCTCCATTGTATGAATGTACTGATAGACATATGTATCTACTGATAGACAATTATTTTTCCTGTCTTTTACTAAAAGCAAACAGCAAGGCAATGATTAATCTTCTACACATTATTTTGCCTGCATGCAAGTGTATGGATAATGAATTCTCACAAACATTACTGCTGGATTGAAGGATGTATACATTCACAATCTTGTTAGATATCACGAAATCACCCGCCTGTAGTGGGCTATGTCTAACTAACATACCCACTCATAACATGAGAGGGTGATTTCCCCATTATCTTCTACACATCAATGTGTTATTAAGCATGTGAGTTAATATGTCCAAACCACATAGAACAGTGAATGGCATATAGCAAGAGAGTGTTCATTACTTTTATTACCATTGTTGTTATTGGATTTTTGCCAATCTGGTGAAAAATGGTACTTTGGTATCTTTTAATTTGTTTTTCTCTTATTATGAGTGAGGCTGAATCTCTCTTCAAGTGTATCAAAGCCATTTTTAGCTCCTTTTCTGTGATCTCTCTTTGCATGTCTTTCACCATTTTTCTGGGCTAAGGATCTCTTTTTCAACTGTTATTGTGTCTAGTGACATGTTTATTTCAGATATTGTATTTATCATCTCTAGAAGTTCCATTTGGTTATTTTTATATTTCAGAGATTTTATAATATCTCTTTAAATATTAGAGAGATTAGCCTTTTGTAATATGAATGCCAAATATTTATTCCCAGTTCATCATTTATCTTATCGATCTTTGCTTTTATGACTTTTAGATTTTGAGTCATAGTTGGAAAGGCTTTTATGGTTTCGTTTTTTACATTTAATTATTTTATTCTTTTAGACAATATCCTGGCAGATGGTATAAGGTTTAGAATGTTTTAAATTTTCATAAATGTAATAGCTATAAATTAGCACCTTGGTGATATTTTCGTCTGCATTTATGTGATCATTTGTGAGCTGAAGCGTTCTCCTCTGCATTTATTTTCTGATATTATTTCATCCCAGGTGATTGGCCTGTACTTACTTTTGCATACATTAGTCTTTGGGATCTCAAGAACTTTCTTACCAACTTTAAAGTGTTCCTTATATAATACAGACAAGGTACATATATTTATTGTACATAGTTTTCCAAGTCTGTTTTTTTTTTTTTTTTTTTTTGGGTCTACAGTAATTTTATTGTAACAGAGAAACCAGGCCGCAATAAGTCTACATGGTTAGAGCAGATGGTGGTTCTTTCCAGTGGGTGAAGCCTGAACCCAGCTAGCAGCACACAAAGCCTAGAATATCCTCTTTCCTGGTACCACCCTGCGCCACAACTCACGGTGTGAGATGAGTGGCTGTATACCACATTCAACAAAGGGAGGAGGTCCAACTGGGCAGAGACAACATCCCAACCAGAGAAACTTACACAATCATTCAAGAGGATGCCTAAAGTACAGTTTCCTACTCTCCACTATTCTTTGCTGAGAAAGGTGAGGGTATGGCATCAGCAGAAAATTTTGTTCTTCATTCTTAAATAAATCTCGATAGGATGGAGTTGATGGTCAGTCAAGCAGTAGAATGGGATGAAAATCTGCAGTAGTTAAAAATGTTTGTACATAGGAAAAGAACAGCAATGACAAGGGAGAAAAAGAGAGCCTTCTCTTTTTCTTACATAAGACAGGAAATTGCATTATTTTCCTTGCTGGAGTGGCAGCAGCCTCATTGGTTTTCATAAAACATCATTTCTGCAGTGCGGCCTGTTGATAAGGTTGCTCCAAGATGGGAGGACAGACACAAGGTCGACTGCTCACGACAGAACTAGGTCTTCTCTCAAAGCCTCTAACGTGTGCTATTTCTCACAAGGAACCTGACACTTCAGTTAAAGCTTCTGAAATATTGCAATGGCATAATTGACAGGTTTTTTGGTGCGATGACTTTCTTGCACATGTAAACTCTTTGAGAAAAGTTGGAGATAAAAGGACAGGGGAGAGAGTTTGGTTTAATGTTCCAGACACCAGCCACGGATGCCTCTGCCCTGTGTCACTACATGTTCTTTTCGGAGAAACATTCAAATGCTGAGTGTTACACACTGTGGTTGAAAGAAACGATCCACTCACCACCATCCACCCTCTCTCATCGTCTGTGTGAAGCTCTCAATAGCAGAGGCTGAAGACAGAAAGGTTGTCTCTGTTTCCTTGCACCAGGGACATTACTTGGTGACCTGGTGAATGGCATGGGCAAGGTAGCCCACGTTGCCGGAGGTGACCCCTGCCACAGAGATGCGGCCGTCCTTGGTCATGTAGATGGAGAACTCCTTGGTCAGTCACTCCACCTGTTCAGGCTTTAACCCTGTGAAACAGAACATGCCAATTTGGTCAGTGATGTGTTGCCAGTTGTGGGTGGAACCCTCCTTCTTGAGGTTGGAGACCAGTTGAGTCCGCATGCCAATGATGCGGTCGGCCATGCCTTTCACTTCTTGCAACCATTGTTTTCGCAAATCTGGGGTGTTCAGAATGGCAGCAGCAATCCGGGCCCCATTGAGGGGAGGGTTGGAATACATGGGACGGATCAAGATCTTCAACTGTGACTCTACCCTTTTGGCTTCATCCGCATCTTTGCAGACCATAGTGAAGGCTCCTACACCCAATTCTGGGAGTCCACTGGAAGGCCTTTAAGAGGGACACCCCAATAGGCAAAAAGATGAAACTGGGACGTTGGTGGCCCTACCCCCGGTATGCATAACCGAAAGCCTACGATGCTGCCTAGCGTTCCGGCAAGGCCCGAGGCCCAGAATTGGCCGCAAAAAAATTTGGACCCAAGGAATACCTGCCCATTGGGGACTGGCTGAATTGGCAGGCCCATCCTGGCAGAAACTAGCCCTGGTGAGAACAGCGAAGTCCCTTGAAGACCCCCCGGTTGTCACTGTAGACCCATTTCTGGAAACTGGAGCCCTTAAGGATCGAGCCCAGTTTCTGCAAAGATTTTTAAGTTCAGCCCGAAGATGTCCTTTCTTGCCCCAAACCCAAGCTGGGGAAAACCCACACCACCATCTCAGGGATGACTGGCATTGAAGCTAGCAGGTTAT